CACGAACAAAGAGTCCTTTTAACAACCCTAATCATGTAGCCATAAGACATAAGACAATAAGGATTTGAGCAATATTTAAAAATTATTATTTATATTAAAACATCATTTGAATCTAATTTAATAATTTTTACTCTATTTTCTTAATCAATATTTTAATTGATTATAAATCTTTGTAGTCTTGTAGTCAATTAGATTTTTTTTTAAATATATATATATATTTGATGAGTAGTATTTCGAGCCAAAACGAGCCGAACACGAGCTTCTTAACGACCCGAACACGAGCTGTTCGCGAACAACGAGCGGTTTTGACAGCCCTACTTTTGGTAGAGCAGCCTCTCTGAAGGTGGTAAGTCCACGTTCAAATCTCCCCATGTATAGAATATGATATTCGAATATTTGGCACACTTAGGAATGATCAGGTACATATAATACCCTCCATCTACTTCTTTTTAGAATATATATAATTTGGACAAATTGTTATTTTTTAATGTTATAATTGAAAGAGGCACCCTATCCGATATGTATATATATCAATTCAACACAAGCATAAACAAATATTTTGACGCTTGTCAGATTTATGCTTTATCGTGTAGTGCTTCAAAGATCCTCCACTAAATTCAGCGAAATGCTCATTTGACAGGAATCCATGGATGGAGTCCACCAACGACCCAACATAATATTCATTAAATAAAAATGATAAATTGCTGAAGATATATCTCTTTTTTTATCTTCCTTATTATTTGAGATGTGATTTTTAAGCTGTAAATGTTTATTTAATTTGGAATATGTATTGAAAAGTCTTCAGGATATCATTGTAAAGTTTCTATACATACGTTACTGGCTCAAAGATATTTACTAATTTGAAATTTTCCCTTTGCATGCATGGAGGTGAGGTGTGAAAGAATATTAAGGCTAAAAAAATGATTTAAATGGTTGGGGAGTATGATTGAGTAGATTATCATACATTCTTAGGCTAATCTCCAAGATGAGGGTTTAGAAGAAGTTGAGTGAGGCAATAAACTATACTATATAATGTATTAAGACATGACCAATAAGAGTAGAGATATTAGAAATTGATCAAAATGAAAAATAATATATATATATATATA